TAGCTTCTGGTAGATGGGATAACTCTATCCGTCTATGGGATGTCAAAACAGGATAATAAAAGGCCAAATTAGATGGTCATAGTGATTGTATTAACTCAGTCTGTTTCTCTCCTGATGGAAATACATTAGCTTCTGGTAGTGATGATAATTCTATCCGTCTATGGGAATTGAAAAATGGAAAAGAAATTTCGTCTGATGATAAAAAATATAAAGATATTCTTGCTTAATTCAAAGCACCACTATTTTCAAATAATCCTCTGGCAAGTATTTAATTAATTATTACCTTTTAGAATCCAACAATATTACAATTCTAAGAATATCTTAAACACCATTATTTTAAGCATAAGGAGCTTTGATCTTGAAAGGAGAATTTGTAAATTATGAAGGATACGATTTAAGATCATTATTCAAATCAAAAGGAAGTTTCATTTTGGAAAACATAAAAAATTTTCACTAAAAGTAAAAAGAAGATTGTATTGAATAATGAAAATTATTGAATATTATTTGTTTTCAGGATTTTTTTTAGTAATTCTATATTTATTCAATCTTTTATGTTTTTTAGTTTTGAGTAAAAACTTCATCCTATAAAAAAGGATTGCCTTTACTGTTTTGACTATTTATAAAATTTGAGTTTTTATTGAGTATATGAAATAGTGAAACATTTGCAATTTTATACAATCATCTAACATATTATATATTATGATAGGTTAACTTAATTTATTTTATTTATAAAAGGGATTGGTTATAATAGTAAAAGATAGATTTTATAACAAAAATTCTAAAACATAAAAAATGTGTCACGCATTTAAGTATTAAAGTTAGTACTAGAATTAATTTAAACTATCATAAAGTAAAATAATAAGAGTGGATGATTTTAACATTGAAAGTAACTTACCAATCACTTTTGATTATTATTCTTGAATTAATATTAAAAGTATTAGCCAGTATAAAAGACTGGAAAAAGGTATATTAATCATCAAAAAGTAGTATATTTTTAGAAATTATTAAGATTTAAAGAGATAATTTAACTTAAGCTCATCTTGAATTTTTACACGAGTTTATGTATACTCTTTTGATGAACCCATTACCAGTTAAATTTTATATTTATATTATTTTATTATTAAATTATTTATTAAATAATTCAAAAGCAAAAATTCAATCGTGATAACAAGTATTATATGTATATTTTCTTGATTACGAAATTATGATTATTCTACTATTAAATAATCCAATAAGGAAAAATTCATATTCTAAAAGTAATCATCTGTTGTATTTTAGATAAACTTTTTCAAAATGCTTCCTTTTGATATTAATAATTGTATTAAGTATTAATAATTAATAAACTGTCCCTTATGGACAAGAGCTCCTTAAACTTAAAATATTTTGCTTCGGATATGCCATGAATAGGTAACTAATTTAATCTAAGAATAAAAACCTGAAAGAGGATTGCATGAGAAATGGGATATTTTGCATTTTCAAAAATTTCTCTATAAAAATATTTGATGAATGAATTTCTTATTCAGAAGCTAAAAAATTTCCATCAAGAGAGAAACAGACTGAGTAGA